AAATTCTTGGGAGTGCTTATTAGTCAAGACCTTACCATGTCCCTGCTGGTTGGGAAGGCTCAAAAGAGGCTTCATTTCCTTAGAGTCCTGCGGAAAAATCAGGTGGAACAACGGCTGATGACTTCTTCCTATCAGTCCATGATATAAAGTGTCCTCCAGAGGTGGTATTCAGCAGGTTATGACCAGTTCTGGAGAACCGGTAGTGGAAATTTTGAGTAGTTCGGAGAACCGGCAAATGCCATCTCTGACTGGAGATTTTACAGTATCCTTCCCTGCCACGCCCACCAAGCCAGGCCCACAGAACAGATAGTAAAAAAATTTGAATCCCACCATTGGTATCCTCATATACTGTATAACAGTATGGTGCCCTGGTTCAACAGCTGCGGACATTAAGGCACTACAGAGAATGATACATTCGACATTGGTTGCCCCCTAACACCACTGGCCGACATCGCCAGGTCTCATTGTTTCAGCAGAGTAAGGAAGATACTGAGGGACGATTCACATCCTGGTCAGTGTCTTTTCTCACTTTTACCATCGGGCAGAAGACACAGAAGAATAGCCAGCCAGACAAACAGGTTTAAGAACATCTTCTACCCCTGGGCTATCAGACTCCTAAACACAATATAGCACAGGGGTGGGCAAACTTTTTGGCTCGGGGGCCGCATTGACTTTTAAAATTTGACAGACGGGCCAGGTCAGCACAAGATTTTTTGGGAATCGCCCCCCCACCTTTCCCCCCCTCTTCTCCTCCTTCCCCTCCCCTCGGAGGCCCCGAGTCAGGAGTTGCTACCGGCGCGGCTCTGCGCGGCTCCAGTCCCGCGTTGCCTCAGGAAGGGAAAGGCAAAAAGGAAGAGCCGTGGCGGTGCTTTGCAATGGCAGCAGCGGCACCGGAGGCTCAGGCTCAGCGGCTCCTGGTTTTGCTTTTTCCTTCCCAAAGCAACGCGGGACTGGAGCCGCGCGGAGCTGCGCCGGCGGTAGCAACTCCTGACAGCCCCAGCTGGACACCTGAGCGGAGCCCGGGTGGAACTGCCTGTTGCTGCTGCCGGAGCACCGCCGGGTCGCCTCCTCCAAGCAACCCGCCCACCCGCCGGGCTTCCCCTCCGCTGTGCGGCTCGGGGCCAGGCGCGAGCGCCCGTGAGTTAAAAGGAAGCCGAAAGTTGCTGGGAAGTTGCTCAGGTTTCCGGAGCTTCCAGGCTTAAACTTTGCACAGGCAAAGTTTGCAGGCGGGAGCGTCTTCCCGCTGAGGAGCGGGAAGGGTTCTGCCCGGCGGGCGGGCTGCTTGGAGGAGGCGACCCGGCGGTGCTCCGGGTTTCCCCTCCGCCGCACGGCTTGGGGCCAGGCGCGAGCACCCGCGAGTTAAAAGGAAGCCGAAAGTTGCTGGGAAGTTGCTCGGGTGCTGGGAGCAGGCTTTTAAAGTGCCGCCCGAGCAAAGTTTAAGCAGCCCGCCTGCCCGCCGGGCGGAACCCTTCCCGCTCCTCGGCGGGAAGACGCTCCAGCCTGCAAACTTTGCCTTTGCAAAGTTTAAGCCTGGAAGCCCCGGAAAAAAAAGGGGGATCGGCGGGGACTCACCTTCGGAGAAGTCGCACTCGAAGGTGATTTCGAACTCCCAGCCGAGGCCTTCCTACCCCGAGAGCGCTCTGCACTGTTTTGCAGCTTTGGGGGCCACGCGGCACAGGGCAATATGCCACACCCAGCGATTTTTTTTCAGGGGTGGGGCGGGCCGGATTGGACAGACCAACGGGCCGGATGTGGTCCGCGGGCCGTAGTTTGCCCACCCCTGATATAGCACCACAAACAGGTTAATATGATGAATTTCACTGGTGCCAGTGTAGTGTGTAATATGTATATACCATGATATATGATCATACACCAGAGTAACATACATGTTGCACAGAATATGACGTACATATGGAAACATATGACTAGTTTTTTTCCCTACTTGTATAAGGATTATCCTTTATATTATTCATGTCTTGTATTCTTGTATGGACTGCACTAGTAGAGGCTAAACCAATTTTGTTGTATACGTGATGTACAGTGACAATAAAGATATTGAACATAATAGAAATGCAACTGGTACAGGCACTTACGAACATCATCACACTGCCTGCAGTCAGTATGTGATCACCATCTGTGCACTTCACAACCAGATTCCAACAAGCAAAGTCAATGGAAAAGCCAGCAGTAAAATTTCAAGTCACAGCCATATGTCTCACTTAGCGACCATGTCACTTGGCAATGAAGCTGCTGATCCCAGCTGTGGTCTCTAAGCAAAGTTTACCTGTATGTCATTACATGTATGTGTTTATATATATATAACCTCTATCAGATTGTCCAACCATACAAAATAAATTATTAGTTTTACTCTTGATTTTTATTCTATAAGTTATTTTAAAGGAACAACAAAACAAACTGAAACCAATAATGAAAAATCCCCTAATAGCAACAACAGGCAGAGATAGCAAGCAACATATTTCTCTTGCCTTTAGAATGAAAGTCTTTCTTAAAAAAGGAGGAATTGAGAAGTTGCCTTCTTTTGGAAGTTCTACACTGAGGTGGACTTTTTCTTTGTTCCCATCAAATGAGCCTTTGCCATTGTTGGGACGTAGAGAAAATTGACTTCTCAGATTTGAAAGATTAAGATGGACAGAATGGAATAAAATGACCCTACGTCCTTTAAGCCCTTTGGGACTTTGACGGTCAAACATTAACAGTGTAAAATTAATCATAACAAAATAGGCCGCCTGCTTTATAATTTTGCAATTTCCAAATAATTTCCCAATTGCAAAAAAGAGAGGATACTATCATTGCTACATTTAACACTTTTACATGTTTATTTAATTAAATCAGCCATTGTACACATTGCAGCTATGTATTGTTAGTGCTGTTTGTTTGTTTCTTTTACATCTTTAATACATGCCCTCATAGATATATTCAGTTAAGTGTTATCACCATGGGAACAAGATGCCGATTTATCAACTTAAAATCACCTTCTCACAGTATTCAAGTTCTCTGATAACACAGCAAAAATTCAAAACTGAAAAAAGGAGAATAGCCATTATGCTGTTACACAGAACATCATCTGCACCGCAAATAACACAACAGAAATGCATTTCTTGTAGAGTCCCAGTCTTGAAGGTTAAACAGTGATGTTCTTGACAATGAGAAATGAGCTATTGTGTGTCCTGCAATTAGGTCTCCTTTCATTTTGGCAGTCATTAAGTGCTTGTGTCCTGCTTTGCCAACAAAATACATTTGCATGGCACTGAGTAGGTTTTTTTTTTTAAAGCAGGAAACCAAAACCTCCTCAAATGTTTCTTTTCCCTTGGCATTGTTGCTTAATGAGGAGGTGCCACTTGTAACATTTATTTTCAGCATCCTGAGCACTGAGTGAGTCGGGTTGTTTTGTTTAAAGTAACAAAGGCTAGCAGGGTTTTGAAAAATATTCAGCCCTAGAGGACCTGACTCATCATTGCTGAATATGCTTTGTGTTTATCAAATAACTGACTCAAAATGTATATCATTTCATATAATATATATGTATATAATTATATATATATATAATTATATATATATATATATATATATATATATATATATATATATATATATAAATTTTCTTAAGTTTTCGCAGGTACTTACATGTATAGCATTCAGCTTTGTTCGGGTATTTTCCCACGTCATTATAGTTGTGCTTTTAAAGTTGTAGCAACGTTTCGGCAGAATCTCATCTGCCATCATCAGGCTTCTGTATTGTGTTCGTCTCAGACGAACGCACAACTATAACGACGTAAAAGCACAACTATAATGACGTGGGAAAATACCCGAACAAAGCCTAATACCATATATATATATATATATAATTACATATATATGTTAAAATGCTACAGAGCTTCAGACCACTATTAGAATTAGGTACAGACCACAAAATAATTCCAGGGTCATTTATGCCTTCTTGGAAAATCAAAGTGCAGACATTTACATGAATAATGCTTGAAAGGTGGTTAAGGACTATAAATAAAATATCAAGGAAAAAAAACCAAACAAAGGCGTGGTGGATTCCTGTCTCCTTATAAATAAAACTCCAGAGAAAACCTCAAACACAATGGTAATATCTGCTCGCTCAGTGCTAGGAAAGATGAGAAGCAATTGGCATGATTATAGAAAGGTCATGTTTTAGCCACATGCATGTGCCAGTTTAAAGAGATAATCTTGACAGAATGTGAGAAATCTCTTTTTTCCCCCTAAAAGGTAACAGTTTATTTTCCTCCTTCAAAATGTGTATAGTGCAGTGGCCAGCAGAAACAACCCCTTCTAAGACAGCGTGGTTTGTTAAAGGAGTGATCAAAACAGTATAGAGATCAGAACTATTGAATGCACCCATTTCATGTCCCTGATCTAAAAGATTTAAATACAGTATGCAAAAGTGCCACAGATATAGCTGCTAGCACGTTATATCTAACTGGGTATATTTTTCTTCAGGAAATCTTGAGGTGGCTTTCCCAGGAAGCAAAGAAGCAGTAATGGCTGCAATCAACTGTCTTGTAAGGGAAACAGCTGAAATTTGAGGTTTTGTTCTGACTCTTTTTAGTCAAGTAATTTATTACACTGGAAGTCCTATGAACACAGGAGGATTGATCTGCTTCGTTCTTGATAGATCCATCTCCTAAGTTGTAATGGATTGTGTTAGCAATATTACATGAATTATTCTTCAACGAACCTTATAGTCCTGATGCTAAAAGTAGTCACACTAGGCAGTGCTTCTTTCTTTCCCGTCTTGTGAATCCACATATTTTCTCTATTTACAGTTTAAAGTTAATAATATCCTTTTAAAAAAAAACACATGTACACTGTCATTTTAAGAGGCCTGTGGAAGAAATTTATGTGTTTATGGATCTGGTGCAAAAATAAAGAATAAAAACGCCAAAGGTGACAAGATAGTCAAGAGAGCGCATAAAGTCTATGACTTGGTAGGTAAAACCATCCAGAATGAAGGATGTGATCTTTGGTCACAAATTAGCTTAACAGATATTTAGAAACAAAGAAAATGAAAACCTGCTCTATATGCTCAAAGTAGAAACAGCTGTGTTCCCTGATGATTAGGTTAAATAATAACACCTATGATAAAAGAAAGCTGGACAGTTAATGGATATGTGTGGTGGTCTAAGGGTGAGATTTAGCAGCATCTCATTTGGCCTCTTTCTTCTGCTCATCTTTGCAGAAATGCCTTAATAATTGTTGAAGGTCATGCTGAAGATCATCTTGGGGTAGGGCTTCTGGTGTGTCCTCCAGCAGCTCCACATGAATCCGGTTTCCATACTGGTCCTTAACCACAGTCCTCTTCTGTGTACTAGCTTTACTCATTGTTGTCCTACAAGAAGTCAAAGAGGGCAATGAGTGAATTTGTAGGATTTTTTAAAAAGGAAATTGCATTCTATTTTTCATTTCAAAATTCTAGCATGAGTTTTGAGTTCCTGTATGTAGGTGAAAAGACAGTGACTGATTTTACTTTAAAGAGCTAAGAAAAGTGCTAAATATTTATATATAAAATATCAATAACGTTAGTTTTTTAAATTTCCTTTCTTATGCTACATTTACATAATGCAAGCCTAAATTTACAATCAGATTTAAATTGGTAGATTTGTTAAAATGTCAGCAGAAATTTGAGAAATTTCTTGTGTATGACATAAACTTGCACAGGCGGAGACAAATGATTGCCTAAAGGGACTGTGGGTGTAGGCTGTAGCCAGGGGTGGGATTCAAATTTCTTAACAACCGGTTCTGTGGGTGTGGCCTAATTTGTGGGTCTGACTTGGTGATCATGTGACTGACTGGGCAAGGCTTGCTGACTGGGCATGGCTTGGTAGTCATGTGACTGGCTGAGCATGGCTTGTATGTGAATATTATTAATATTTATGTAAATATTGAATTTTTTTAATAAAAAAGAGCAACTTTAACCCAAAATCAGGCAAAGCAGGCAGGCAGATTGAATTGTTCACAGAATCACAGATTCATTCACAGATGTATCTTTCTGCAATCAGCTACCTGAGTCTGCCACATAAAATTTGTTTGCTAGCAAACTCATCAAATTTGCTAGCAAGCAAACTCACAAAACTAACTCACATCACACTATGTATGTACATATTAAATTTTTTATTTAAAAAAGAGCAAGTTTTACCCAAAATCAGGCAGAGCAAGCAGGCAGATTGAGTTGCTCACGGAATCACAGATTCACTTAGAGATCTGTGTTTCTGCCATCTGCTACCTGAGTCTGCACTGAATTATTATTCAGGTTCAGCATCAGGCTCAGCTCTGCTTTTAAATTAGCTAGAAAGCAAGAAATTTGATGATTTCCTGCTTTCTAGCTAAGCTAAATCTCCCGGCACAGCAGAACAGCTGACGTTCAGGAAAAAAAAAAAAAGGAAAAATAGCAACTTAGCCAGCAAGTTTGATGGCATGCATGCCAGGTAAGGAGTCAGTGGGCGGGAAGGGGCCAGCCCATTGATTTGACGGTTCTCCGGCAGATAGAATCCCACCCCTGGTAAGAGTGCATTTTGCGCATGTCTGTAGACCATTTCCTAAAAACCTCAGATGTGCCTCCCGGACAGCTGACACGCGCTGCACATGGGTGCGCAGCATTTGAAAATCCTCTTCTTTCTTCCTTTTTCAACCTCAGCTTGCCACGCAAAGCAGCTGAGGTTGAAAAAGCAGGAAATAAAGGACAGCCAAGAGCCCAGGCAGGTGGCTGTACCAAACAGAGCAGCAAACACCAAACTGGTTCCATGTCTGCTGCTCTTCAGAGCTACTGGTTCTATAGAACTGGGCCGAACTGACAGCATCCCACCCCTGGCTGTAGCCTGCTTCTGACTAAGGCAAAAGTTGAGTTGTTGCAGAGTTCACATTGCTATGTAGAATGGGATAGTTTAAACTAGGGGTGTCAAACTCAAGGCCCATGGCCAGATCCAGCTTTGAGGTACTTAGATCTGGCCCTTGGAAACAGTGAAGGACCAGCCCGTGGTGCCTCTGCCAGTGAAACAGAGCTCAGTAGGTCTGCACACAGCCCTCCCAAGGTCCGTTTTTGGCTGCTCCATTTTCAGCCTCCTGCAATCCTCTGCCAGCAAAAATGGAGCTCAAGAGGACCACGTACAACCCTCTCAAGCACCATTTTCACTGGCAGAGTGCTCGGGTCTCCACAGGCGCCCCTAACACAAGTGATGTCAAGCTGGCCACACCCACTCTGGCCACGCTCACCCATCCCCTGAGGTCAAACACAACCCTGATGCGGTCCTCAATGAAATCAAGGTTGACACCCCTCGTTTAAACTTTTGTACGGTTCAAACTTTTTATGTAAACATTGTATCAATCAGAAACTTTCAGTTATAAACGTATCTTAAGATCTTTTCCTTCCTGATACTGGGAAAATTATTCTGAGAGACATTATTACTTTGTAACATCAGTGCCTACATTCATATGTTCTAATCCAACAACAACAACCTTTGTATGAAAATCCTGCAACAGGGTTAACAAGATAAATGATAGGAGAACCTTTCATATCCCTCACTACAAACCTGCTAGTTTTTGTCATTCCTGCCCATACTTACAATATTTAACTTCAACGGATCTCATTGATAGGAAGATGGAATACAGGTCAATAAATAAATAAATTTGTCATTCAGTATTATACATTGAGACAAGTGAAGGGAAATAAGCTCTATTGTATTCATATTTTTTCTACTACTTCTCTTCATATAAGAGGTTTCTGCAGTTATGGGAATACACAGAATTACATCACAGAAATAATTTATTCAGTGGAAAAGACAGCTTATTTCTTTGGATTATATTCCTTGAGAATCAGAGCCCACCTATTGAAGTAGGCTCTACTGACTTTTTAGTTCTTGGAGAGGAATATCAAGTTCATACTAAGCCTCAAGAAACAAATGAACTAGGTTGTTTAACCATTTGATAACCAAAAAAATCTCATACTATTGTTATTTATACATTGTTAAGACCTTTTCATTGTTCCTTCTATTTCTGATATTCAACCCATGAATGCTAGTTATATTGCAAAATGGTGTCATTCACACACATGACGGAACGTCCATGCCTTAGGCAATGTGTGTGCTATTATATGCACAGACACTCACACCTGTGACAGGTTATCAAACTTTGTAGAAAGAGGAAATTAGAAGCAATACACTAGATGACTAATCAGCAGCATTCCTCACTGCAGCAAAAAACAAAATAAAACATATCTTGTTGCCCTCTTCTTCCTAAGTTAGTTAAAAAAAAAGAACAATAAATACTCTATTGTTCCCTAGAAATTTGGGCTATATTCCCAACACATCTGCTTGGTACAAAATATGGTGAATATATGATCTGATTATCTATTTGGAGAGAATAAACATGTTCTAACTTCAAAGGTGGAAATGCAGCATCAGACTTTAGAACTTAGAATTAGAATTATAATTCCACTGTTTCCCAAACAACTGTTTGTTCCACCAATTGATTCTCCCTTCTTCCACCAAGTGTGTTAGTTTCCAAATAAAGCTTAAGACACTGAGACTGTAAGTTGACATTTATTCAAGTACCATTACAGTTAGTCTGTTAAATCTTTGGTCACTGCACAGGCTAGTGTCATGCCAACTCAAACCTTTTAATAAGCGACCCATCCTCTTTCATGACCTCTTTCTCTACTAATGGGGGGACTTCAATTTTCACTTTGTTACCAATGTAATTCAGGGCCTAAAGTAAAACAGGAAGCATAACTGTAGCATAGAAGACCCAAATACAACTTAATTATATTAACTTGCTAAAATATCAGAACACCCAATGAGACAAATTAAACAAATTAAGGGGAAAAAAAGTATTAATTGCATAATTTGCAAATTCTGTACTTACTAAGAATTTGGAAATGTGTCACAAAACAATAGAACCTACTTTGACTGAGAATTCTCATGCTGATCTCCTCGTGGAGACAAATGATCTCTTATGAAAAAAGAGGTCTTTTCTCCTTGAAGGAACTCAGGGAGAATAGAAAGAGCTCCAGTCTTACTAACAGATGGGATTTGGTTCATTAGGAAGGCGGCTCTTAAACAATAAAAGTGATTTGATCCAGGATTATCCTTGGAATCACATATACATTTCAAATAGGATCATAGTTCTTATACATTGAGTAGCTTACTCTTTGGATTTATAAATAACCCCACTTGCAAACTGAATTATATTGTTAAGAGTACATTTATACTGGAGATTTCTTTCCTAAAGTCCTCAACTATGTGCGTTCCACTGTGTTCTTGCATATTATGTTTAAATGTATTCAATCTAAGAATGGAACTTCTTGTTCAAGCTGAAAATATGGTAAAAAGATGTGCTGACATCACTCCCATCTGATCAGAAATTATCTATATTCTATTTATTCAACCAACACTGAGTCATATTTTCTTTCAAATAGGATATTGTGAGTTTACAATCCTGCTCCAAATGCATCTGGATTAAAGTTCATATTTACTAATTGATGATAAGCTTCTGCTGTACAATTAGTTCCAAACTGAGGGAACTTCTTATGTCTGGAAAAATATGGCAGTTGTGAAAGGTTCCAACTAAATTCATTGTATAGTAATGGATTTCTCTACACAAATTGGCTCCAGTTGGCTTTGCCAAGAATGGGGTGACATGAACTGTCTTTCTGAAGCACTTTCGTCACTTGTTTCCAATTGCTTCTTCTAGCAGATTCAGTAGGGGAAAAGGTCTTGTTAATGTGCTCTTCCTGTATCACTTCCTTTTAATGAGATACTGGAAGGGAACTAGTGAACTAACAGGAAACAGCAAAAAGGCTCCTGTGCATGCATAAGTATGTGCAACCTCAATATAGAAGTTCTTCCAAGGTGCTGCATATCTTGGAGGAGACCATTAGAGTGACAGTGTGGGTGAAGGATATGATAGTTTCGCTTTGTTGTCTAGAAGTGGGATGGCAGCTCTCCTTTTCAAAGCAGCTTCAAATGAATGCTTTGTTTAAAGCAGGGGTGTCCAACCCTGGCAACTTTAAGACTTGTGGACTTCAACTCCCAGAGTTCCTCAGCCAGCAAAGCCGTTGTAACTTTGAATGGACACTAAGAGAACTGTTGTAAGTCGAG